GTTGGTATCTATGTACTCTTTAATTACTTATTCCATACTATATGTTTTTACATTACTACATATAAAATTATTAAGGTCGCCGTAACCCACTCGCCTAGGGGACGCCTAGGCGGGCGCCTATTCGCCTAGGCGTCTGGAAGGTACATTAACGCCTAGCCTAGCCGCCGTGACAACTATGGTGTGTGTGTGTGTGTGTGTGTGTGTGTACTAGCATGGGACACACTTCATGTGTGTGCCCAAAGTTTTGAAGAGTAATGACTCACATTCTTCATCAAATAAATATTTTACTACATTCTATTGTAGATTTAGAAGTCATTTCATTAAAAGCCACACTTAGCAGTATTTGTGAAGCATGAAAAGTAGTAATTTCAGTGTGCCTATTTGAGTTTTCCAAATTAGTCTTTTAAAGAAAGATAAAAGAATGAAATATGGCCAAAAGTATTCATCCATAATAAGTGCTAACACTTTTATATAATTTCCCTAGGAAAGATTTAGGACAAAATCATGTGCTACCTAGTACTCCCTCCGTCCGCCTAAGATGTTCTCATTTTGACTTTTGGTGGTTTTTAAGGAGAGTTGAAAAAAGGTGAAAGTTTACCATAATACCCTTAATGAAAAATGGGTGGAGTGTATTAAATGATGTGGGTGAAGTGTAATAAATAAAGTAAGTGGGGGTAGTTGTGGTATTTTACTTGTTAAAAAATGAAATGAGAAGATCTATTGTGGACAAAGAAAAAGGGCTATTGGGAAGATCTATGGTGGACAGAGGGAGTATATAACAAGACATTTGCATTTCAACTTTAAAAAGAGAATTAAACTTTGAAGAGTATTTTGATCCTGTACAAGGAAAGAATTGAATTGAAATCAGGTTTTAAAACAATAATAATGAACGGAGGCATAGCCTAAAAGTGTGTGTTCTATACCTTGTTTATTTGTGTGTGGCCATACCTTTGGAAGTTATTAATGAGATGTAGATAATGAGTGTACTAGAAATATATAAAATATTATACAAAAGGAGTGATGCTTATACTGGGTGTTACATATGACATAGTGTTATAAGGGAAGTGACAAAATTGGAAGTTATTTTCTAGTTTTTAGGTGGGTGTTTTTGCAAGGAGTGAACTAAGATTTTAAGAGGGGTAGTTAGGTATACACTACATAATTCATAAGTTCTCCTACCTTATTGGGGTAGTTATATTTTAGAGAAGTGGTAGGGGTCAACCACTTCGTCATGCCAGATTGGAGTGCCTTTTCGATTTCCAAGCCTTGCGCAGATGCGAAGTTGTCCCACATTGTCAAAGTGATAGGTTTGCATCTGCACGATGGGTCGTTGAGGTTAAGTGATTAAGTCTGAATTCTATTAAATTAAGTTTTTATATCTTCTAGATTGACTCCAACTATTGGCCCAGTGTCTAATATATTTCTATTAGAGATATAATTTGATACTCTCCCTTTATCAAGGAAAAACAGCTAGAGGTACTCCTTTCTCCGTAGTAGTTTTGGTCTGGTGTTATTATGTGTGCGGGGGTGGTTGGATAACCGATTGGCATCTTCCTTTCTCCGTAGTAGTTTTGGTCTGGTGTAGCACCATCCTGTTTACAATTCGGGGTAAAAAGCGATGTTTGATGAGCCTGCGTATTATTAGGTAATTGGTCAGGTAAAGGCTGACCAAGCCAATGATGCTTAGCTGGTCTTTTGGGACGATCAGCCACACTGGGACTGAGACACGGCCCGGACTCCCATAGGGGGCAGCAATGGGGAACCTTGGACAATGGGCAAAATCCTTCTCAGCTTGCTTTAACCAATTGATGAGAATCATATCATTAAATAGGAAGTAATGAGGTATGAAGTGACTTGACTGATAAGGATTTGATTGAGCCTATTTAACCTATAAGCGTCAGTATAGTTTAGTTGATGAAGGAACAAACAAGTCAGCCTACCTAATGAAAGCGCTTCCTGTTACTGACGTAATTAAGTCTAAGATGAGCAATGTTCTTAGGTAGCTAACGTAGTGAAGGCATTAAAGGTCTTGGATAGCTCGCAGAGACTCGCTCTTTGCTCGTTTGGTTATGCTGCAGCTCAATACTCTTGTATAGTTTCAAAATAGCAGAGGCCAAAGGTAACGAATGAATGGTTATAGAATAAATAGATATGGGGGATGAAGTGATGTGGCTGCGTAACACGGAAAAGAGTATCAAAAGTGATAGTTACCATAAACCACCGAATTGAGTAAAGAACTGTTGAAGTTGTGCTCATCATTAGCCCGAACACCTGCTGCTCATCAAGAAATGATCATTTTGCTACAGCCACGGAGAGCTATGAAGGAGCTAAGTTTACCTCAGATGGAACTGTTTACTTATTTACTTACTTTAGACTACTTGGTAGGGACAGTGACTTTCGGTACATTAATACACTGTGTTCGAAGGGCAGCAAGAAGTAGTTCATTGGCACCATTACTTAAGCATTACCGAAGTGATAGTAGTCCCGAGTCGGGCAGATTCATTGGCACTGTGAAACTTTTAGACAAAGGTTTTAGGGGTTGGTGTCAAAGCTTTTAGGGCTGACTTTCATGAGAAATTTGGTACTTTAAGGGTTGATTTTCAAAGATAGGTCTGAATTTGAGGTTAATTTCCAAGACAAAACAGAACCTGTAGGGGTTATTTTTAAAAGAAATCTGAGTTTGCATTGATTTTCAGGGGAAAAGTGAAATATTAGTGACTAATTTTTTTAAAAAAATGTGATCTTCAAGCTGATTTTAAAGAAAAAACCGGACCATAAGGGGCAGGTTTTAAAATAGATTATGAGTTTGAAGATGAGCTGATTAGACAATTTAAAATGAAAACAATATACCTTCCTTGTACTAAAATGTTTTTGACATTATTTGAAGATTTTGAATTTTAAGTATTAAACCTAAATAAAGTAAAAGAAGTTGAGTAAAGTGGATTGAATTTAAGTAGTGAGGTAGAAGATTTATATGTTCTTCACATCAATTTTTTACCTTCTTTGAACGCTACAAGGTCATATTCTTTCCTACTCCATATCAATACATATAAATCATCGCACAAATTTTTTTCAAATGTAGCCATCAAGACCTCTTGTGCGTTGGATTAATATTTACTCCTTTTTTTTTCTCATCTTACCTCTTCAATACCTATGTTTTGATTGTATAATTGAACAAGGAAAACTTGCCTTAATTGAAGTAGGGGCTGCGAAGGCGTATAAACTTGCTTGACCCAAATAAGTCTAAAACGGTAGTACGTGAATGGGAAGATGCAGGCAAGTCCCAACTAATTTATTAAAAAGGGGCATTGTGAGCCTTTAAAGTCCCTTGCAGCCCAGTGATATATGTTATGTGTAGCCGTTGACAAATCCACCGCTATGGTGAAATATGTACAATAGCTTGTTGAGGTAGTAAGGTATTCAGGTTAAGAAAATGCATTTATCTTGTCATGTGTTTCCCTTAGCTGTTGAATCAACTCATTGGTGGTCTTAGACATATTTGTACAAACCAAGCTTTACTAAAAGATTTAACTCAACCGGTCAAGTAATTCAACTCATTGTCTAAAAAACTGATTTTATCTCTTTGATAATTCAAAGTCAGTTTCTAATATTAGTCCTTCATAAGAAGGTTGCAGAAAGTGTTCCTAAAAGATTCACATAAGTAATAAGTGGTAAGTATGATGGGCCTAGTGATAGAACACAAGCTTAATCACGACTGGAGTAATATCAAAATCCAAATATACAGAATTAATTTAATTTAATTTAAGGATCCGTTTGGTATACGGAATTGACAGAATTGAAATTGAATTGGAATTCCAATTCCAATTCAATTTTTGCACTATCAATTCCAAATCCATATAATTTTTGTGCTACCAAACACCAGAATTGGAATTGATGTCCTCAATTCCAATTCCATAGTTTGAATTCTGTGCACCAAACCGGGCCTAAATGATTCAGATATGTAGTAAAAGTGAAGAACTGTAATTACAAGTGAACAAAGCTATTCTTTGAACATAATTTCATTCATTCTCGTTTCCAATCACAGATTCAAATCACGTAATGGTCACAAATGGGTAATAAAAGAAATTTAATCAATGAATAATTAGAAAATTACTCTAAATCAAGAAAGTGGAGAGCTGCGCAGAAAAGAAAGTACAGACCTGTGGTTAGCGGATAATTATGGTATTATGGGATAACCAGGTAAGGATTGCTTAGCTACTCAAAAAAACCTCATACTCAGTAAGATAACCTCTAGACTGAGCTATCCCTACCGAAAATTATGCAGCAAAAACTGGAAAACCAAAGGAATGTTTACCTAGCGGTTGGCGAAGGAATTTGACCAAACTCGATTTAGAGGAAGATGATAGAAGAGGTGAATGCAATCCCAGGGAGATATATGAGAGTAGTCGTCGATAGTGGGGCGGTGAACGGCGAAGAAGACATTGTCCTTGGGCGGTGGGCGGCTGAGTGACCAATAGCGTTATTTGTTAGTGCTAATTGAAAGAAACGGCACTGGGGCGTTAAATTAAACGGAAAAAAGACTGGCTAACAAAGATAGCCCCTAATATGGGATTGACTCCTGTGAGAATGAGATGACACAAATCTCACCACTAGTGGACCGGTGTTGCTATTTTATTTTTAATTAATTTTTAAATTTTCAAAATTTAAAAAAAAAATGAGTTTTGGTGTTCAAAGTGGTGAGCTTTGTGTTATCTGACCGAAGCATTTCATATATATATATATATATACATACATATATACATACATACATACATATATATATATACATATACATATATATACATACTCTATCCATTTCTTAAAATACTTCTTCCTTCATTTTATGCATTTCCCCACAACACTTTCACTTTCAATTAAAAACTCACTTTTACCCTTATTTTTTCCTACCCTACCTATCACATTATACGTTTTTATTAATAATTTACCCAACACCTAAACATATTACTTTTACCTATCACATCAAAAGTAAAATTAGAAAGTCAATCATATTTATACATTCCCTATTTTACCACAAAATAAAAATAGGAACACTTTAACAAAACGGAGGGAGAATAAAATTACCTGGTATTCGTTTCTACTCATCAAAGGGGACTATGGGACCATAGCCAGACACATAATCTTGTTTCTCTCCCGAGTGATCACCCCATTGATTGTTTATAATCCAATATTTAAAATCCCCCATCCGACTAACAAAACCGTATGTTCATTTTCTTTAGAAGTGAAAATATGAGTATAAAGCTTTAGTTAGTGGCGATTTTCGGATTGACAAATGTCTATAAGCCCCAAAAAAATGTAACAAACAAACAGTTAACACAGAGGGAGTACACGTATATGACACAATTAACTCCGCTCTACAAAAATACTATGTATACTTAAATCAGATGTAGTACTCCACATATTTTGTGGAACTCACTCTTTTAGTTTTTCTTGGTATCGTGTGATCACTAAACTACTCCATCTCTCCCAAAATGGATTCCACATGCACTATACTATTTTAAAATCACAGTGACTTTTATTTATTTGTGTATTTTTTTTATTATTTAATACATAAATCAAATTCTAAATATAATGTCACTTCTTGGTTTTATATTTGTAGCATTTTTGTCAATCAACTAAGGCATTTTCTAAAGTTTTTTCTTAATTCATTTTACTTAAAGAAATTGGTATAGAAACAAAAAAGAAACTTGCATATTTAAAAACAATTTCAAAAATGCTACAAATATAAAAGCAAGAAGTGACATTATATTTAAAATTTAATTTATGTATTAAATAATCAATAAAAATACACAAATAAATAAAAGTCATTGTGATTTTAAAATAGTATAGTGCATGTGGAATCCATTTTGGGAGAGATAGAGTAGTTTAGTGATCACACAATACCAAAAAACCAAAAATTTGGGATTGTTAATGATCTTAAAAAAGTAAAAGCGTGTGAGTTACACAAAATATGTGGAGTACTACATCTGATTTAAGTATATATAGTGTTTTTGTAGAGCGGAGTTAATTGTCTCATATACGTGTACTCCCTCCGTATTAACTGTTTGTTTGTTACTTTTTTTTGGGGCTCATAGACATTTGTCAATCCGAAAATCGCCACCAACTAGAGCTTTATATTCATATTTTCACTTCTAAAGAAAATGGTCATACGGTTTTGTTAGTCGGATGGGGGATTTTAAATATTGAATTATAAAGAATCAATGGCGTGATCACTCGGGAGAGAAAGAAGACTATGTGTCTGGCTATGGTCCCTTTGATGAGTGGAAGCGGATACCATGTAATTTTATACTCCCTCCGTTTTGTTAGTGTTCCTATTTTGACTTTATGGCAAAAATAAGGAATGTATAAATATGATTGACCTTCTAATTTTACTTTTGATATGATAGGTAAAAGTAATATGTTTATGTGATGGGTAAATTATGAGTAAAAATGTATGATGTGATAGATAGGGTAGAAAAAATAAGGGCAAAAGTGATTTTTTAATTGAGAGTGAAAGTGTTGTGGGGAAATGATTATATATATATATATATATATATATATATATATATATATATATATATATATATATATATATATATATTATATACTCTATCCATTTCTTAAAATACTTCCTCCATTTTATTATTTTCCCCACAACACTTTCACTTTCTATTAAAAACTCACTTTTACCCTTATTTTTTCCTACCCTACCTATCACATTATACGTTTTTATTAATAATTTACCCAACACATAAACATATTACTTTTACCTATCACATCAAAAGTAAAATTAGAAAGTCAATCATATTTATACATTCCCTATTTTACCACAAAATAAAAATAGGAACACTTTAACAAAACGGAGGGAGAATAAAATTACCTGGTATCCGTTTTTACTCATCAAAGGGGACTATGGGACCATAGCCAGACACATACTCTTGTTTCTCTCCCGAGTGATCACCCCATTGATTCTTTATAATCCAATATTTAAAATCCCCCATCCGACTTACAAAATCGTATGACCATTTTCCTTAGAAGTGAAAATATGAGTATAATGCTCTAGTTGGTGGCGATTTCCGAATTGACAAATGTCTATGAGCCCCAAAAAAAGTAACAAACAGTTAACACAGAGGGATTACACGTATATGAGACAATTAACTCCGCTATACAAAAACACTATGTATACTTAAATCAGATGTAGTACTCCACATATTTTGTGTAACTCACACAAAAAATGGTCGGAGAAATAGGTAAAGAAGAGAGGTTCAGTGGGCAGTGAAGAAATATTCGTCGGGGAAGGCAGGGATAGTGGGCAAAACAGTAGCTTAACAGAAAAGTAAAAACTAAACGGAAAAAGGGAAAAAATGTTAAAGACTTAACTATGTTGGTCCTTAAATAATTAGGGTGACTAATAGGAATAATACAAGGGTTAGAAAATATTATTATTAGTTCTCATATTATATTGTTAGTTTGTTACCATATTTAGTTTTCCTACTTTCTTTCCTATTCTCACTTTAGTTAGGAATCACAATGTATTCCCTATATATACAGATGTATCTTTTCTTATTCAATAAAACCAATTATTATCAAATTCTATCATAGACAACGATTACCAAAATCATATATGGTAATAAACTATACAAGGATACCTACCATAAACAACAGATATACAATAAATACAAAATACTCTGTATATTACTCTAATAAGTTTCTTGGAATCTAGAAAGGCAACTGCGTTGTGGAAACAAGATTCCTTGTCCTATTCATTATTTGAGAGCTCAGTAAAGAATAATTTGATTTTCTTCTTAATTGGAATTTCTATTGTCACACAATTAGGTTGTTTGCCAAAATGTTGCTACAGTAGGGCATTATATGTAAGATGATCCACATTTTACACGTAGATCTAAGGACTACAATAGCACTAACTCTTTAAAATAATCATATCCTAATAAAATATCATTCAACATGCATATAGAATCATCTGCCATAATTAAAATAAATGTAAGATCTCGTGCAAGTTACGTATAAAAGAAAGTGCAATAACATTTAATACGCATAAGTGTAGCTAGTGGAGTCACTTTAAAGGGATCGAAGAAATTAAATTAGTCATTGGAAGAACAATTCTAAAAATAAAAAATTAGGAAGTCATTCTAAAGAAGAAGAAATTAATTGTAGCCACTTGAACCATTTTTGTTTAACGAGCCGATTCTATGGCCACTACTTTTTTGTGGCCATGGAAGCCACTGCTCCGATTCAAATACTTACAGTGCTGCGTTCGTAAAATTGATGATTCCTACCCCCTAAACCCGGTAAACCCCCCCCCCCCAACCTAGACTCAACCCCAACCCATTCCCCCACCCATGTCAAATGCACCCCTGCATGTTTAGTTGACTCTAAAGTGAGTAAAAAAATTTGACTTCAAAGTTAACTAAACTTACGGGGTACAATTGATATTGGTGGGGGGATAGGTTATGGTCGAGACTGGGCGAGGGGGTGTGTCAGGAGGTACAAATCATCAATTTTACGAATGGAGCATGAAAAGTGGCAGTGGCTTCCATGGCCACTCAAAATGAGTTGCCATTGAACCTAGCCGTTCAAAAAAAGGAGTAATTCGTTGAAAGCCAAACATTACTTTCATGGATGAGTTCACAAGATTCCTCCAGCCTTTTCTTCAAGCCATTGGATCATATGATAAAAATCAAGATCACGGGCTCTAAACTTGCATCTAGTTGCATCCTTGAACTTTCTTGAACGATTGGGCTTGGCCTTAAACACAAATAAACCCTGAGTAACACATATATGAAACCTGAATAACACAAACAAAAAAATTAAGTAAAAAAGTCAAAACGATTCATATATTATATTATACTAAAGAGTGCATTAAAAATCTATACTGAAGTGTATGTGTAAACACATACTATAGAAGTACTCACTAAGATTTTGTGTTATAATTAACAAACCAAGATTCATCTTTAACAAGATGAAAGCGTCATCGTAACGTGTTCATAGGCTTTTCACATGTGGGAGAAGTCCTATATGTACAAGATAAATTTTATTTTTAGTTTGTATAATTGAAATCAGTTTCAGGTGTTCTTTTCAATGACAAAATAACGATAGAAATTGTTATGCATGTGTAATGAGCGACCGACCCGGAATAAAGAAGAATGATGAGATATCTGTTTTTGTACAGATCATCATTGAAGAAGCTCTGAAACTCATCCTATGTGTCAACCTTGATTTCTTTCCTAGGGAATAAAGTTGACTTCACAAAATAATTTAAACTGATACGAACTATTATATATAAAGTGAAGTGAACCATTATGGGTACACCACCACCTTGTCCGCCCAATCCATGATTGCACATTTCAATTAAAGAACCCTTTCAACGTGAACCAAAGTTTAAATGTTGGGTATGTTCAAATGGACTCATATTCCTTTCAAGGATTCTTGAACATACCTTACACTCTCACTTTGGTTCCCGATGAAAAATTTTTGTAATTGAAATGTGCAATGATGGATTGAGATCTGGTTTCGCTTGACTTTATATATAACACTCCGTAAGAGTTTACATTATTTTGTGAAGCCAACTTTATTCCCCAGGAAAGAAATCAAGGTTGACACTTGGGATGAGTTCCAGAGCTTCCTCAACGATGATCCGTACAAAAACAAAACTCTCATCGTCCTTCTTTATTCAAGGTCGGTCGGTCATTACCTATTTATAACAATTTCTATGGTTATTTTGTCATTGAAAATAGTATCCGAAACTATCCCTTAATTTCTATTATACAAACTAAAAATAGAATTCATCTTGTATATATAGAACTTCTCCCACATCAAAAAAGCATATGAACATCTACGATGACGATTTCATCTTATTAAAGATAGATCTTGATCTGTTAATTATAACGCAAAATCATGGTGAGTACTTTAATAGTGCGTGTTTACACATGCATTTCAGTATAATTTTTATATGCACTCTATAGTATAGAATAATATTGAAAATAATATATGAATCATTTTAAGTTTTTAAGTTGTTAATTTTTTTTGTTTGTGCTATTCAGGTTGCATATCCGTGCTACTCAGGATTTATTTGTGTTCAAGGCCAAACCCAATGATTCAAGAGTGCTCAAGGATGCAACTAGATGCAAGGTGAGAGCATGTGATCTTGATTTTTATCATATGATCCGATGGCTCGGAGAGAAGGCTGAAGGAATCTTGTCAGTCATCAATAAAAGTAATGTTTGGTTTTTGACTAATTACTCCTTTTTTTGAATGGCTATGTTTAATGACCGCTCGCCACAAAATCCGCTGCGATTTTTTGATGCTCTGTTCGTAAAATTGATGATTCTAACCCCTAACCTCCTTAACCCCCGCCCATGTCAATTGCACCTCGCAAGTTTAGTTAACTTTAAAGTTAAAATTTTTACACACTTTAAAGTCAACTAAACTCGTGGGTTGCAATTGACATGGGTGGGGGATGAGTTGGGGTCGGGACGGAACGAGAGTGTTTATCGGGAGTAGGGGGTAGAAATCATCAATTTTACGAATGGAGCACTATAAGTTTCCAAATTGGAGCATTGGCTTCTGTGGCCACTGAAAAGTAGTGGCCATAGAACCTGCTCGTTAAACAAAAATGGTTCCTGTGGCTACAATTAATTTCTCATTCTTTATAATAACTTCTTCTAATTTCTCTCTTTTTAGAATGGTTCTTCCAATGACTAATTTAATTTCTTTGATCTCTTTAAAGTGACTCCACTAACTACATTTATGCGTACTAATTATTATTGCTCCTTCTTCTACATGTAACTTGCACGAGATATTACATTTATGTTTATTACGATAGATGATTCTATATGCATGTAATAATTATTTTTCATGAAATTTTATTAGGATATTATTAGTATAAGGAGTTAGTGCTATTGTGGTTCTTAGACCCATATGCAAAATGTGGACTTTTTAAATAAGCTCGTAGTTGGGTATCCTAAGTTTTACAATCCCCATCGCATAAAATCAATTTACGTATGTAAGTCCATAAAAAGAACATGGACTTAAAGATCACAGAAAAATTTTTCTATTATAGAGGTATGCACTATTTGGTAAATTTACCAACCAAACCAAAACAAAACCGAATGTTCGATTCGAATTTAATTTGGTTTCATACATTTTTTCAGGTTGTTTGGTTTTGAGTTGGTTTAAATATGGTTCAAATAGATTTTGATATCAGATACACCTTAGTTCGGATATATTTCGGTTCAAATGCATTTCAGTTTCAAATATATCTTGGATATATCTTATTTTCACTTTCCCTAAAACACTTCCACTTTCAATAAAAAACCACTTTAACCCCTACTTTTTCCTACCATACGTATCATATCATACTTTTCAGTAATAATTTACCAATCACTTCTTATTTTTACCTATCACATCAAAAGCAAAATTGGAAAATCAACCATATTTATACATTCGTTATCTTGCCACCTAGTCAAAATAGGAACACTTTAACAAAACGGAGAGAGATTAAAATTTAAAATTACCTGGTATCTAAAGGGACTATGGGATCATAGCCAGACACAGTCTTCTTTCTCCTCGGAGGATCGTTGTCGACCAAAATAAGCTTCATAGAAGCGAGGAGCATGAGAGTCCATCAAAATTTTGGCATAACCCTTCTTTTATGAGACAATTTACTCCGCTCTACAAAAATACTATGTATACTTTTATCATCTTATATTAAAAATTCTATCGGAGAAATTTTCTTTTCGGACGCGTCTTAGTTACGAACAAAAATTTGTTGGAGTATAGTATTTTGGTAGCAACTTAATTTTTATAGAGATTGTTTACTTTGATTGTTTCTTTTTGCCCTCTCTTATCTTCATTTTTTAATAACAAGTAAAATAAATCTTACTATATACTCCAAAAGTATGTCTACAGTAACTGTCCAATACTTAGCTACAATAACAGGCCAATAATTAGCTACAGTAACATGCTGTGGGCATTAGTGGGGCCATATTCAGGGCATTATATATATATATATGAAATTAGATCTTTGGCTATTTTAATATTTATATATACAGTAAACATTAACGGAGTATATCTAGATGCAAAAAGTTTCTAAACATCAAGTTATAAGATATATATACATACATACATACATACATACATATATATATATATAATGGTTATGAGAATATATTAATAGATCAATATAAATATCGTTCTATCTAGATATATATTATTAATTGATACCCATATGTGTGTGCGTATATGAAATTAGATTTTTGGATATTTATTTTCAGAAAAAAGAACGAGTAGAATGAGGAAGATTGAATTCGTAAAGGATTGAAAAACGCATGAATGAATACTACCAATACCTGAAATAAAAATCTAAAAATGATAAAGAGACTTAAAGATTCGTAGATTTGAAGTTCGGAATGAAAATCTTACATCCAATCCATAGAAATGAAACGACGTGTATCATCTCCGGCTCTCGACGGCGCGGCGGCGTAGCGATATAGAAAGAGGGAGGAAGAGACGGAGAAGGAGAGGCGACGGCCGAATGATGAGAAGCATATGGGTTAGGGTAGAGAATGTAATTAGGTTTTAATATTGGGTTGGGTTGAAGGTTTTTGTTGGGCCGGGTAAGTATTATTGGGCTGTGGAGATAGTTTATAATAGGTTTTTTTAAGAGGTTTAAGTATAATTTGTGTGTTGATTTTATATATTTAACCATTTCAAAATACTTTCTTTATTTACAAATTTACAAGAATTAAGGTATATAATATTTAACTCAACTATAAAACACTTATGCATTGTTTGGATAAAAAGAGAATATGGAAGGAGAGAAAATTGGTGGAAAGAAAATAGAGAGAAGAGAAAATATAAAGAAAGTAAATGTTGTTTGGATGAGTGAAAAATGAAGAGAAAAAGTAAGAGGAAAGAAAATGTAATAAAACAAAAAGATACTTCTACCCTTATTATAACTTCTCACAATTAAATGCAATGAAGGATAAAAGTGTCATTTGTTGAGTTTTCTCTCCATTGAAAGATTTTCTCACCTTTTGAGTTTTGACTGGAGAAAACTTTTTTGCTTCTCCCATTATTCATTTTCCACTCCCTCCCCATCTTCTCTTACAAACAAACAAGTGAATTTTTTTGGGAATTGTGTTTTCCCTCTAATAGTTTTCTTTCTATCCAATTTCACATTATCCAAACATAAATTTAATACAGAGAATAATTAATGCATGAAAATGTGCAAATATTTTAATTATATTCAAAATTTACTTTTCCACAAACTATAAATAAATTTTCGAATGCATAAATTCATCCAATGGCTTATCAAACAAAACAAAGCACATTTTAAATATGGAATTCCTAACTCAATTAGTTGTTATTTTGTCTCCCCCTAAATAAAAATTATGAAATATATTTTCCCTGTTGCATTCTCTCAAGTGACCAATCGTCAAGGTCTTAAAATTTTGATTTGCATCGATGATAATAATATAGTCGAGAATACTATTAATGTTGTTTTTAAGGAAGTATTCCAAAATATTTGAAATATGTTGTAACAGTCATTTTTTGGTCATGTACACGTGTCATTTGCAATGTTTTAATAATGTTTTAATATCACGTAGTCCATTTACTAATTATCAATAATGCATGTATTACGGAGTATGTAGGAATATTACTTGTCTTTGGATTTTTCTAAGTTATATAGAAGAAATTTTTTTCGTTATGAATTACACTCTTGATTAAATTTTAATAATTGACAAATACAATAACAAAATTCTTTCCGTACAACGCACGGGTACGAGTCTAGTTTAAATCAAAGCCAAACGAAAGCTACAATCAATCAGAGACTTCTAAAATGAAATAATAGAGACAACATAATACATAAAGTTTGTTGAACTAAAGGTAAATGAAGCGTGTAAAACAGACCCTACAACGAGGATCCATGAACTGATCATATAAGGATAGTAATGTAATTTGGGATTTAAAAAAGACTTCCAAATTAATTAAAGTTAATATTTATTACTTATAGAGTCAAATTTTTTTTATTATTACTACAAAACTCCGTTTTTAGTACTTTTCCATTCTTATACTTTTAGTTTAGCCTTTTAATTTTTTTTGTATGTGCCACTAATTTTGTCTCAAATCATATGTAGTAATACTCCATATATTTCGTGTAACTCACGCTTTTTTACTTTTTTTAAGATCAACAACAATCTCAAATTGTTGGTTTCTTGGTATTGTGTGATCACTAAACTACTCAATCTCTCCCAAAATGGATTCCACATGCACCAAACTATTTTAAAATCACGATAACTTTTGTTTATTTGTGTATTTTTTGTGATTATTTAATATATAAATTAAATTCTAAATATAATGTCACTTGCTTTTATATTTGTAGTATTTTTGAAATTGTTTTTTAAAATGCAAGTTTCTTTTTTGTTCCTATACCAATTTTTTAAATAAAATAAATTGAGAAATAAACATGTCACGAAAACAATCCTTGTACGAAAAATAATGCCATTTTTAAATAAGAAATAATAAGTACTTTACACGGAGTCCCTTAAATTCAGAATTGATTTTTTTTGTTCAAACCTATATAAGAGAGTGCAAATATTAATTTAAAATTTATTGATATTACATTCCCCAACCTTAGGATTGGTGAAGGAGGTAAATTGCAGGACGTGTCTCAATTAGTAAGTGACAATAAAATTTTTGTCACGACTAATTTCACCTACAAGGGACCAATCCAAAGAGACGCCTCCAGGATTTGAACTCCCATCCTGTAGGCCGTTAGCCAGGCACACCAACTATTTTTTTCAGAAAATGCTAGAGTCACAAACATATAGTTCACAAACCTCACAAACTTGCCTTTTTTAGATTTTAAATTAAAATATCTTTTATTATTTGAGTGCATCTTATTTCTAGGAAAGTGTTGAAAAGGCAGGTTTGTGAATTTTGTGAACTGTTTGTTTGTGACTCTAGCATTATTCATTTTTTTCTAATATGGAGTAAAAGAGTCTATACGTGGTGTTCTTTTAGTTATATTTAGGAATTCCTTCATTGGATTTATCACAATTATAAATAAAAACTACATATTAAAATGAACTCCATAAAAAGAAGAAGTTATAATGGTACGTGCTCATCTTACATGTATTTTGTAGATACATTTTGCACGGTTTTCATTTATGCTTGCTTCATGGACTGTTATAATCAGGAGCATGGGTGGCTCGGAGGGTGTGCAAAGTGGCCAACCGCACGGGACCCCTTAAAATTTTTAAATTTGTTAATAATTTTAAAGCAAAAAGTATTCTAAAAATAGAAAATAGAGCACAAAATGTAAATTTTGGACCGAACTAATTTTATTTTTTCAATTTTCGGGGCAGGCCCCGATCACGAGTGAAAAGAAAATGGTATAGAGTAGTGTAAAAACATGCATCCATCCAAAAGTGAAATTTTAGGGAGCAATAAAGAATATATATACTTACCATGATTCAGTCCCAAAAAGACCGGGGCGGCCGGCCGGAGAACTTAGCTTGTTTATTTGCAACGAACTGCCACGTGGCTTGTTTTGTTACAATACCTTAATATACTCACTCGATCAACTTCCGGCGGCCAGGAGCTGAGGGAGAAAGAAGATTAGTTTAGTTTGAAGTTTGAGATACATACAGCTGCATGCGGCACCATTTATTTAGGCCCAGTTTGGCATCAGCGTCAGAGATTAGCGTTAGTGTTTTGAAAAAACTATCAGATGGTAGCCTTTATCGTTAATGTTTTCAGAATTAATCTGCACCGTTAAAATTTTATCCAAAACGCTAACGCTAATCGAAAACGTTGTTACCAAACAAAGCCTTAGGGGCTGTTTGGCAACTTCTGAATGGGTAAGTGCTGAACCAGTAAGAGGTCTGAACCATTAAGTGCTGAACCAGTAAGAGGTCTGAACCATTAAGAGCTAGTATATTGCTTAACTATTCAGAGGCAAATGTCTGATCAATTCAGATAAAAGGTCTTAACCATTCAGACTCTGTATAATACTTAATCATTCAGAGGCAAATCTCTTAACCATTCAGACATTTGAACCATTAAGAGGCTGAAACAAACAGTCTGAACCATTAAGTGCTGAACCATTCAGACATCTGAACCATTAAGAGGCTGAAACAAACAGCCCCTTAATTTCCTTTGTGTGGTTGAGTCCAACTACGTACCTGTGTTAATTGGTTGGATGCCAATGAATAAATGTCGCTAGCTTGTCATTCCAAATGCGCTATAACTCCTTCCCTCCCTGCCTCTGTACGTTAGTTGAGCAGCAGATAAATGCTATTAATTACTCCGTCCATCCCTAAATAAGCTTTCTCTTTCGTTTTTTCTTTGTCCTCAAATTAACTTCTCTTTTCCCTTAAAAAACTCCTTTTATCCCTTACATTTTCATACCCTACCTATCACATCATACTTTTTTATTAATAATTCACATATCACATCTTACTTTTACACATCACATCAAGAGTATTTTTGGAAAGTCAACACAAAAATATCTCTCCCTTAAATTCTCAAAAAGTCAAAAACAGTTTATTTAGGGAGGGAGGTGAGAGTAATAGCATTTCGAATGACCAGCGAATTGAAAGAGGATACAGCTGCCATCATTTAATCATTAGTGCTTTCTCAACAACCCAGACAGCCCCCTCCATTCAACCCAAACAGTCCAGTCAAGCCCAACAGCGCCCAATTGGAACCCAAATAGCCTAATTGAACCCAATAGTACCGTCGCCAAGCCTCTGCCCGGAACCCGGCCGACCTACCGCCGTACGCCGCCGGCGCATCGCCGGAAATTGTGACGGAAAAACAGTCCCAACAACAAGCCCCACAATTTCAATCTCAATCAAACCCAAATTCACAATCAATTGCAAGATTAGAAGCTAAGGAAGTCCTAATTCTACAGATTAACGCTAACTATAGGTATAGGAATCACGAATCACCTCAAAAATTCGAACTTTGATTGAAAGAGGGAAGTTGTCGCTGCATTCCTACCACTATCGGCCGGTGTTGCTGCGCGACTAGCGAGTGAGGGAGAGGGAGGACGGAGGTCGGCGGCACTCCCTGCGGCGTCTCTGGTTGGCGCTGCTTCCCTGCGACGGAGGTCGACGTCCGGCGCTGTTGTGAACCGCAGAAGGCAATCGAACGGCAGAGGATAAAAACGGGCGAAAATTAGGAAAAGAAAGAGTCTGGTTAGGGTGACCCCCTAACACATTATATACTCCCTCCGTCCCAAATTATTTGTCAGCTTTTTAACAGTCGTGGGAACTTTTGTTTTTTTTACGTTTTCATTGGTTATTTGATAAAATAAAATATTCTTGACACATCTTATTTCGAATAATTTTTCATGTAATTTTTGATATGTAATTTTTATTTTTTATTTCTTTACCAATATGTAAATAAAATGAATTGAAAAAACTTGATATTTTATCTCGGTAATATAGATGTCACAAATAATTTGGAACGGAGGGAGTATAAAACTAGCACGAGATGCACTACGTGCATTAGGTGCCCAAGGTATTGGAAGCGGAATACTCCCTATATACATTGTCAAATAATAACACATGTCTACAAAAAAAAAGCAAAAGATAGCTTGTATCATCTTCTTATTCTATGCATTTTCTTTTATCTTTCAGAGTTAATTTAGTCTTATGCTTTTTAGCATTAGGAGTTCCTTTTTGAGTACTTGTGACATGCATAAACAAACTATGGAGTACATTTTGTGGCTTTTTATTAAGGATCATATATTAAATAATCATGAAAATAAAGTTTGGAGTGAGCCAATCCAACAGAATGAGTAGTGCGCGTCAACAAGTGTGCCACCTCATTTAAAGAGCGAGATATAAAGGTAACTTTTAGATCTCCGCATTTTATCGTTTTTTATTTGGTAGTCTTTCAAATAAAATATATGAAGGCTTTTAGGCATAAAGCAAAACTACACAACTAAGGCAAAAAATGCCTTTCACCATTTTTATAGGGAATGATATTGATCAACTCCTTTCTTATCCCTTTTCTAATCGAGAAAATTGTACCATTTACTCCTGAACTATTTAGAAATTACATGGTTTACTGAGTATTAAAAAATGCGTTGTTTACCCTAGAAATCTTCAAAAATTACACGATTTACCTCTAAAATTTTAAAAAAGCACCAAATACCCTTGAACAATTTAAAATATTGCAACGTTAGTCCTAAAATAATAGATAAGGAGTGTGTTGCTCCCATGCACGGAAATTGCGAGTATGTTTTATGTTTTGGAGTAAACCGTGTAATTTCTAAAAAAACTCAGGGGTATTGGTAATTTTTTTTAATGTTTAAAAGTTAATTTTGCAATTTATGAAGAATTCATGAGTAAAGAGTGCACTATTCTCTTTGCTAATCTATTAACTTAGTGATCCATCTCCACCTCTCTTATCTGCCTAATGATTAAGGACACTAGGCAGAAAATTATACTATATTCAAATAGGCGCTTATCTTTTTTGAACACTCATAACTCCATCACAAGTAGTATCTGTTTATACATTTCCAACATATTAAAGTTCATAGAGTTACCGCACTGAGAATCAAACATGTGACCTCTCATTTAGGAGATCGAGCCAAAGCAGTGTCATTGACTACAAGATCCTTGGCGGTGCTCGTCTTTAATAATTATTCTCTTGTTGTGTGACAAACAAATGAATGAGATAGAACACTTAAAAAATTGAACAAGCTTAAGAAAGATCATTCGAAAGATCTAAATTCATACAATCTAAAATCAAACACACTTAAATTTTAAATACAACTAAATTTTTTCAAAAAAAAAACTGCATAGAATTCTAATTTTCCAAAAACAAACAAACAACAACAACAACCCAATTAAATCCCACAAGAGTAGGGTCTGGGGAGGGTGTGTGTACGCAGACCTTGCCCCTACTCGAAAGTAGAGAGGCTATTTCCAAAGAGACCCCCGGCTCAACGTCGAAAGTTGCATTGCTTGACTAACTGCTACTTCATTAATTAAAGAAGCGCAGACAGTTTAGAAATCCATTTTAATTTATTCCATCACACTCCAAAGCCAAAAAATGGTGAAATTTTGGCTCCATCGGAGATGATGGAAATTAAATTTTCCAAAAAAAAGGACATCTAAATTTAGAATTTATTAACATAAATGTGGGCTATAACAATTTCGGCCAAGGTGATGTTTATGTGGATAAAAGAGCTCCACATGTCTAGCACTGTTCATCGCTGCATGCCTGCGTCTATATGCTAGAGGATGAATAACACCGTTAACTCAAATGGAAAAGATAACAGAAAAAAGACTAAAGAAATGGACGGTAACTTTATTGGCTCTTATTATTATATATTATATAATTAGGGAGATTAAATAGATTTTAGGGTCCAATTTACACTTTCTCACCTGTTAGGTAAATTTAACTTCAGTTACCTTATTCGTCAGTTGTATCTTGGGCCCACTAAGTCTGATTCACGATCGGTTTGCGTGGTCGGGTTCAGAACAGCAAACTCTACAATGTAGGTCAAACTCTCATGTTAAATATGCAAATTTGAAAATAACCCTCGTATTGACAACTTAGTAATTAATTAATTATATAAATTAATTAAAAATACTAAGGCTCCGTTCCGTTCAACTTATTTTTTTTGATCTGATCTGATTTTAATAAGTTCTGTTCTGATCTGATCTGATCTGATTAGATCTGATCTGATCTGATGAGATCTGATCTGATCTGATCTGGTCTGATTAATTATGATTTAATTTAAAATTTCAAATCAATAATTTGATTTGACTTTATAATAACGTTTGAAAATTGTAATGATAATTCATATTATAATATAATCAATATTTTTTATTTAATGATTATTTTTTAATAAAATAAAAATAGTTAATTCATATATTAGAATAATTATTTATATTATAATGTAATAATATTTTTTATTTTATGATTATTTTTTTGTGAAATTAGAATATTAATTTAATATTTTAATAATTACTTCGTATATACATTAGAATAAATATTTAATTTAGATATACATTAAAAAGTAATTAAATTTAGATAATCAATATATAGAAGAGATAGTATTTTTATTAAAATATCTCATCCGTATAAAAGATCAAAACTTTAGAAACTCAAATTACAAGTAGCAATAAAAATATATTTTAAAAGTAGAATTAGATTGACATTGTCAATGTATTTTAAAACTAATTTTTCCGACGTCTAATAATTAAGGATTACTTTCTCAAATTTCTATTTAACCTATTTCTAAAGTTTATTCTTTTTCATTTTTAAGAATAACAACAACAACAACAACAACAACAATAATAATAATAATAACAACAACAACAACAACAACAATAACAATAACAATAATAATAATTCTTGATGGGATCTGATTTTAATAAGTCCTGATCTGATTTGATCTAATTGGATCTGATTTGATCAAATCGGATCTGATCTGATCTGATTGGATCTGATCTGATCTGATTCGATCTGATCTGATTTGGTCTGGTCTGATTTGATCTGATTTTAATAAAAATAAGAAAAAATAAGGAAAAATAAGTTGAACGGAACAGGACCTAAGTCGTGTTTCGGGACTCAACCGATACACTATTGGGCTGAGTTAGTAGGTAATATTTTAGGTAAAAGTGTGTGAGCGTAATGTATGTTACTTAGGACATTGTGTATAGTCTTCGTTGTTGCATTAAGGACATTGAATGTGATAGAGGTGTGTATTGTTTGGTAATTAAGACATTAATCTAGAGTGTAACAGTAGATATCAAACAAATAAGCAACATACTTTGCTTACTTTTATTTTTAAAGTTAGGCTTTCTGCAGATAAAATTTGAAATGGAAAACTTGGTTAATGGGAAGCTACTATATAAGGTCATTTTGATTTTTGTACATAAGAAATCCGATGGTATGTATTAACCAAGTTTGTGGCCGCCGCAATTAATCCTACCTGTTAAATCCGTTGCTTGAGAGACCAGCGCACCACAGTTTTCTCCGCCGAGCACATAAAATGACAACCCCCCCCCCCCCCCCCACATGTCATTCCACTGAACAAATATATCGGATTGTACGCATAAGTGGCAGCCACATGGCGTATCCACAGTTAAAATGCTCACTCTTATATAAATAGATTTTGTTTCTAATGAAAATAGATCTAGGGGAAGGAAATAAGACTAGGAGTAATTTACATAAATAGGATTAAAACATACTTTCTCAATTTAGAACCATATGTTTTTATTACCTCATATAGGACCATTGGTCATTATCTATTAGTCATTATTCAACTGAATGTCTGACATTATTTAGACATTATTCTTCTCACTAATCATTATTAAGTACTATTTAAAGAATTAAAAAGTTTAAGTCATACATTGACAAATTTCACCAAAGAGTAAACCTAAGTCGGAATACTCAGTCTTTAAGGTCTCGTTTGGTACATGGAATTCAAACTATTAAATTGGAATTGAGGACTTTAATTCCAATTCTCGTATTTGGTAGCACAAAAATTATGTGGATTTGGAATTGGTAGTGCAAAAAATAAATTGGAATGGGTGGATTCAATTCTATGGAATTGAATCCATTGAAATTTTAATTCCAATTCAATTCCAATTCCATCAATTCCAAATACCAAACGGACCCTCAATCTCGCTACGCTTTTTTCTTTTCTTTGTTGTGTCACATCTCATCATCTTAGGCCTATTCTACATGACTTATTTTTCTTTTTATTACTTAAGGTTCATTTTGTGTGACTTATTTTTTTTACTTATTACTTATTCTTATTAAAATTAGACCTGATCACATCCAATCAAATCAAATTAGGTTCCATCAGATCAAATACAATCATATTAGACCAGATCCAATCAGATCAAATTAGACTAGATCAAATCCAATAATATCAAATCAGAAAAAAAGAAAAAAAATAATATTAATATTTTTCAAAGAGTAAATAATAATTACTATTTGATTAAATCATTTTACTTTGTTTAAAACTACACACACCTAAATCTTAATTAATATTATACAGAGTAAATCTTAAATATTATTATCATTGTTGTTGTATAATTTTTATTGTTATTATTATTATCATCATCATCACCATCATCATTATTATTATTAGTATTATTATTATTACTATTATTATTATTGTATTTCAATTTTCAAGTAGAAACTATTATTTCTATTAATTGTTTAGCTTGTAGGAATGATGCATGGAAGCAATATTAAAGCTTAAAAAGTTATATTTTTCAAACTTTAAAAGAGTTTTTTTTAAAATACTTGTTTATAAAAGAATTATACAAAACTTAGGTTATAAAATCATAAATACTTTTATAATTAATGACTCACTTTTAAGAATTTAAAATGCTATAATCTACACAAGGGTGAGTATATGACAAAATTGGTAGAGGTGAAAAGAATATTCATGTTTAAGATTTTATATGATGTTTAATTTGTAACATGCAATATATTATTATGTAATATGCATATTGAATGTGATTTTTCTTGTAGAATAGCATCCATATTTTCTAATATTTAGTTATTTTAATATCGAATAATACACTCTCTTCACTATATAAATAAAAATTGATTATTTAATTTGCACAAAGATTAAAAAAGTAGCGATATTGAAAAAATGTTTAATATTTCAAAAAAAGTTTAAATATATCAATGATTAGATGATTTTCTTATTTTTATTTTATTTATATATACATGGTAATACTTTAAAACTATTAAATTTTGTAATAATTTTAAGTTTAATGCAAATCAAATTTAAATTTATTTAAACCAGATCTCATTAGATAAAATCAAATTCAATCAGATAAGATAAGACCGAGTAAGATCAGTTTAGATCAAATCAAATCAAATAAATTAGATCAGACCCAATCAGGTCAGATCTAATCAAACCAAATGCAATTAGATCAGATCAGATCTAATCAGATCAGGTCAAAACTTCAAAAATTTAGATTAGATTCAGTAAGATCAGGCGTATGGAACAAAGCCTTATTCTTAATAAAATCAGATCAAGCCTAATTAGATCAGATCGGATACAATAAAATGAGATCAGATCCCATAAGATTAGAGCATATCCAATCATATCAGACTAGATCTAACGAGCTCAGATTCTATCAGATTAGATCAGGTCCAATCAAATCTGATAATATCAAATCAAGACATAAAATATAAAAATAAAATTATTATTTTTCAAAGATTAAATAATAATTACTATTTTTTGAGAGAAACAACAACTTTATTAATCAACAATGGGACGAGAAAATCTGTAGGTGTAAATACAGCTATTAACATTGAAAGTGTCACACTGAAAATTGTAAAAGTCAAATTAGGACGAAGAGAGTATTATTAAATAATAATAATGATGATGATGGTGATGATGATAATAATAATAATAATATTAATAATAATAAATACTAATTCGAGCTAGGTATATTCAAACAATTAAACGTTAAATGATCACTTTCTACCATAGAATAACACCATGACATGATGGTTAGTGGTAGCTGAAGTTGAGAGGTTTGGAAGCAAAGTAAATTCTGCATGTGAATGATGATATTCCCCATGCTGCACGTAATTTCGCATCCATATATCATCTCTTACATGTCGCATTGTTAAGGAGGTCGATAGCTCTTGTCCTCTACATCTAATCTCTATCTGCATGCATGAATGTTAAGCTATTTAAAAATCATAATCATCATCATCATCATATTCATCAATAATAATGCATGTGGCCATGCAAGCTTAAAGGAAAAAGAATTAAAATATGGAGAATTTACTTAAATAGACTAAAACATAATGACTTTTCCTAAATAGCATCACATGTGTTTTTCTCAATGTAGCACTTTTAGTCATTATTCATTAGTCATCATTCAAGTAAATATTCACCATCACTGGATATTATGAACACTATTAAGTGCTATTTAAGAAATAAAATAATTTAAGTGCTATTTAGGAAAATAACTTAAGTTTTAGTGCTATTTAGTGCAAATATTTTTTAAAATATCACCATTGTCGCATTCCTAGCTACGATTATTCCACACATATCATGCGAAGAAGTACATGATACCGTAATATTCATTAATACTATCCTCTGTCTTACATTAGAGTTTCCCCTTATTATATAGTTTATTCTCTTCGATTGCGTTAGTTCATTTAAAAAATAGTGTAAAAATTTAAAAATAAATTTATATATTTAAAACAAACAAGAAAATCCCCCAAATAAGATTAAATCTTTAGGCATATTTTCAAAATAGGAGTCCATAAACAAGATACCTTCTTCTCTGACTCCTCCCTCCCTCTCTCTCTCTCCTCCGTCCACCGGCGTAGCTCTAGCTACCCACCGACGATGGCTTCTCTCCTCTTTGCACATATATCCCACATCTGTCTCCCACAGACTCCACAGTACACCTCGTCTCTTATTAAGGCTGATTCACTTTCAAATCATTTTATCTTCCAAGCTATCAACCTCTTTGAAATATTTATACATGAGTTCTAGGGAGAAAACATTGAAATATTCAATTAAGATCTATATTCGGCCAACACATATATACTCATTTGGAGTTGAATCTATTGTACAAAAGTTTTGGTATATTTGTATGTACTTTTCTAAGGGTGTAGAAAATCTTAAACTTGGGACTAGTTTAAGTGTGATTGAGTAGAAATCTTATCATCTGGGAAATCAAATGTTAGATAGTAAGATAAGAGGATTGTGGAATCCTTATCTCGATTTATAAAGTTTACCAAACACCATAAGTTTGGCTATTGTTAGTGAAATTTTGGACACGGTGTGTTCGAGTACTGAATGTAGGCAATAGACCTTCAGTCTTGTTGTTAAGAAACCAACCATGCACTTGGTCATCTCCCTTGCTTTCCATAACTAGTGGCCTTTTCACAAGATGGATGTATTTAGAGGCTTGTTGCAAGGGGACCTCATAGAGGACATTTTCATGATTCAACCTCTGGGCTGGTTAAAATGATCAACACTTTCCCCACTGTATTTTCTGCTTATAACAACACTTTCCCCACTATGTTTCCCCACTTCAAGTCTCTTTTACCCATTCTTGCATCTTTCTCCATCATATAAATTATGGTCGAGAAATGTTGGCTTGACGGGGTGGCGGATTGTATGCCATGTTAGGCCCCCACTCCAAACAAATGGAAAGAAAAGGAAAAAAATGGAGCACACAATTTTTAACGTGGTTCGACACCTCAAGACCTACTCCACGACCCCCTCTGGGATAAAATTTCACTAGTAATTTTTGCACGGAAAAATTACAAACCCTCTTCAATATTTGACACTCACAACCTAAAATCTAATACACAATTATATAGATTGAAGGATTGTGTTGTGTGATGGAAGCCTATATCTCCTCTTTATTTATAGGCTCCAATCCCTCCTCAATTTTCCTATCCCACCGATGTGGGACTTTGAAGTAACACTCAACAAATCTCCCCTTAATTCAAAGTCCTACATCATTTGCGATTTCTGCAGCGATACTCCCATCCTACAGAATCTTCTGTCCAGCAGTACTCTTATCTTCAGAGGAGATCATCTTCATAAGTGATCACATTTGCGAAAGAAGCTTCCTTCGATTTGCCCTT